TCTCCTCTGGTAGGAAATCCCATGAGGATAAATTCAGTCAAAACTGTGATGTTCATTACTGTTGGAGGCATGGTTTATATAAAGTAAAAGAGAAATAAAACATCATTATGAAGTTTTTTTAATATGAAATATATAGTAGATGTCCACATGTAGTAATTACAAATTTATAACAAACATTTATGCATTATCTATTAATCATCAAGCATTTTCTGATCATGTTTGATTGAATCAATTTAACTTCAGTTTACATAAAAGTGTCACCATACTCACAAATAGATCCTGTAAAGAATGTTGAAAGACTATAGGGCTTCCACTTACACTGGAAAATCTTTATGAAAAAAACTTTTCTTCCCTCTTGATAAGCCCAAATTAACAAATAAAGACATTTCTGATCTCATGATCAATGCAAACTCCATTTCAAAATACCATACAAGAATTTAAATAGTAAATGGTTTTCAAAACAGTTTTGACCTAAATTATTTGTCTGTTTATTTTAACCCTTTTGCTCTGATATTTTACCCATATTAAATAAGTAAAAAATTGTGTTTTCATGTACCATTGTTTTATTTCATCATACCCACTCTTCCAGCTCTGTGACACATGACCTTGCAAATATGTTTCCATGCCCAGTTCCTTCCCCATTCCACTTCCCTGTCTCCCTCTTTGCATCCCAAAAAATAAATGCTGAGTCCGTGGCAGGTAAGAAGGAACCCCACAAAGTTGTACCTAAATTCAAATAGTCAATATGAGGAAACAGTACGGTTGGCCATTCATTTTGCAATGACAAGCAGGCGTCTGCTATTTGTACAGACTTTGTTCACCAACCTTCATCTTAATTTAAAAAATATAAAGACTGTACTTTACTATTTCCCCTGTCATAGTCTCTCCTTGGCTCATTTCAAATATGCTTTCTTCTATTATGATGGCTGTTAGGAAGGCCACAGACTAAATGTTTAGGGTTGTTTGGTTTGGGAGAGAAAGGATATAAAATGATTTTAATCTATTAAAAGAAACAATTCCACTTGTAATGAAAATTTTTTTTAAGTTTAGAATGTATTCTGGCAAAAAAGGTCAAATTCATTTAAGTGACTTCTAAAATATAATTTTATGGTGATAAAATAGACATGTTGTATCTCTGCTGCTATTTCTGGTAAAATAGTCTATCAACTACTCTCAATTCTTAACCTTAGAATATGCCTGACAAGCCCTGAGTGACTGAGTTTAAAAAAAGAAGTTAATGCACTAAATAGGCAGATTTTCATGTCTATCTCTTCTAGCTTGAGGGAAATATAATGTCCAGGAAAAATTGCCTCAAACATAATGTTCTTAATAATCCTATTTCCCTCACCTGTAAATCATTAATAATTTTGTCTGAAAAGATAGCACACATTTTAATGCTTAGTATTATTTTTAAGCTACCTCTTAAATTTCTATCTTCATTATTAGCTATTTCCAATCAATTGTTTCAATTTAGTGTAATATTTAATACACTTTCAGATCAGTCTGCTAAATGCTAAAATTCATTGCTAACAGTTACAACACCTGAGAAAAATCATCATACAGCCTTCTAATAAAAATTATTAACAACCATAATAATTTAATGAACAACTAAAATAATGAGAAGAAATAAGTAGAAAAAAGTAATATTTTTCTCCCATTGAGGTAAAAAGTGGTATTGTTAAACATTGAGAACCAGATAATATAAATTATTCAGATTTTATTAGTTTCATTATTTAAATTAGCTTACATTACATAATTTACATTATTACATTAGCTTCTAATCTTAAATGAATCTTTAAATTGGAAATATTTTAAATATAACATGAAATTTCTTCTAAAAAAGGATTTGGTAATATACATACAATCCTGGTGTATAAAGAGCCATGTGTCTTCTGAAGCTCTATTCTTGTGAAATTAATGCTCATCAAAAGGACAGAAGGCTCTTGTACACTCTCATTTCATAGAGATGATGACATGTGTTGCTTCAGCTGAAGATTCATGATCCCCAAATACTCCTGCTTCATCAATATCCTTATAGGAAGAAACACGGGACCTGAAGACCTTGGCTATTTTACGTCTGTGGCTTATCTCTCATGGGCTGGAATGTTGTCCATGAATTCTAAATCATCAGGTGGCTCTATCCCAGACAGAAAAATGCTACCTTTGTCTCCATTGACTTGCTTAATTGGCACCATCCTACAATAAATCTCAGGGAGTAATTAGTGCAATCAGTATGTCATAGGTTTATTGTTAATGATTTTCAATAGATGGACAGGAATGTACTTAATTCTAGCTCCCAATATTTCACACATCATTTACTGAGTGCCTCCTTGTGGGTGAGACACTTTTGTGGCATCACTTAGTAAAAGTAATGCAAGAAGTCAGATTCCAAAGGTGGGCTGGGGTGTCTGTCTCTCACCAGAGGACGGACACCTTGAGGTGTTGGTTTGTGAAGAGCAGAGGAGAGCCCCCTCACAGGGAGAGTGGCTGGCAGTGGGTCCGTGAGGAGCACAGGGTGGGGGTGTTACAGGCGAGAGTCCAGTGCAGCTCCGGGGCAGCAGGTAAACAAGAGATTGAGTTGAGGGAAAGGACATGGTGGAAGACTCAGGGCATGGTGCAGGTCATGGGAAATCATTAGTTGTTACACTGAGTGGAGGAAAAGCCACAGGTGGTTTCCAGTGCGGAGGGGCACCATCCCCTCATGTTTGAGCTTGATCACTGATTAGAACAGAGTGTGGAGAATTCCTGTCAATTTTGCTACTAATACTGGTTTCTGATGGCTTGACCTTTGTCCAGTAGCATAAGCTACTCTATCAAGCTGCTCTATTCCAAAGTGATAATGCTACATTCACCTCTGTGATGTGGAGCAAGGCAGGAAGCCACATACCTACCGCTGGTGACTTGGGTAAAACAGGTAGCTAAAGTGGGACAGTTGTTCAGTCGCTGATTACGTTTTCATTGTGATCCTAACAATGGCTTTCGATTTCAAAATACCTCGGGTCTATTTTGTTCCTGATAATCCTAATACAATCATACATACTTGGGTAATTGTTTTGTTGTGATTTTTAAGGTATTTTTTTAGTTCTATACACTAAGAGAGATTAAAATTAAACCTACTGAAATCATATTGCAAGTTGGAGGGCAAAATAAACAATAATCCAACATATTTGCCGGATCTGCAAGAATTTCACCATCACACAGATCGCTGCTTTGATTATTGTGAGGAAATCTAACTGGGAAACTTACTTCCCTTAGGATTGGAATTTGTTTCTCCTTTACTCCATCCTTGCTACTTATGCTACTGGCTCACGTGCTAAAGTTCACTGTCATGGTTATTTTTGTATTTGTGTTTTCATCTTATCTTTCCTTGAATGACCTTAAGGGAGTCTCTCCCATTTCTAGCACTCACAAATTTCATAAGAATGTTCCAAGATGGAATTTTTTAAGGATATTTTGTTTGAGAATAAAGTACTTTTTTCTTTTAATTCATTTCATTCATGATAATTGATAATTTTGTATCTTTTTATTTGATGGTTTTATTCTTTCCTCTTTCTGGAATCATATAACTTTGGCTTTCTTAATTATTATTATTGTCTAATCTTTCTTCAACTTTCAAATTTTCTGCTACTTATTTTAAGTCTTTCTGGAAGTTGCTTTAACTGTCCTTCCAACTTTTCTGTGGTAGAATTTAACTTCCACATTATGTTCCCAACTATTAACTTTTTTATATTTGTTTTGTTTGGATGAATTATCTTCTGTTTTTTTCCTTGAGAATTTCTGCTCTGGGCTTCATTTTTCCTATTGTTCCCCACAGGGCCTCTGTTTCTTCTACTGTTATTGTTATTTTCATTCCTGTCATTCAAATGAGAAATTTTACATATTCACCTGCTGAACCTTTACTGTACATTCCTAGCTAAGGGTGAAGAAGTTTATTGGGAATTGAGCTTGTCCATAGCTAAACTTCACTGAAAAGAGATTTACAGATTTTGAGAGGTCTCCAATGCTGATTTTTTAAGAAGTTAGTTTGGTAGAACTGTACCTATCCAATATTTTTCCAGATTAATAAGAGGGTGATCAACTGAAATCTGTAAAATATCTTGAAAGCAAATACCAGCTTCACAATAGGTAATAACTCTATTCAAGTAAAAACTCTATTTATGGTTATCCCACATCCCCACTTCCTTTTCTTCAGGACCTAATATATCCCGGGATGTTTTCTACTTCAACCTCTACAGATTCTACGTTCAACTACTTCTGCTAGGCATTTGACTACACTCTTGACTGGAGGTGGGGAGCAAATCTGGAGTTTTATGGACATTTTAAACAGACACAGATCATACCCCCTCCATAAAGTTCAACTCTCAGTGAATCTCAGGCCTATAAATACAACACTGAAGCATAATACGCCTACACTATAACATAGGAGAAAAGCTAGATAACTTTGGGTGTAGTGATGCCTTTTATACAACACAGAAGACACATCTGTGAAAGGAAAACTTGAATGGACTTCAGTGATATTAAAAACTCCTGTTCTGAGAAAGTGTCAAGAGAATTAACACACAAGCCACAGGCTGACAGAACATATTTACAGAAGACACAAATGATAAAGACCCTTATCCTAAATATACAAAGAACTCATAAAACTCAATAGTAATAAAAAATCCCATTAAAAAATGGGCCACAGATCTTTACAGACACGTCACCAAAGAAGATACACAGATGTCAAATAAACATTGAAAAAGATGTTCGACATCGTACGCTTTCCAGGATATGTTCGTTAAAGCAATGGGCCACCACGACACCGCCTTTAACTGGCCAGCGCTGGAACACCAACACCAGCGCCAGCGCGGAGCAGAGCGGCAGGAGCTCTCGTGCATTACTTGCAGAAGGGAAAAGCGTGCAGGTGTATTGCAGGGCAGCTTGGCAGTTTTTCACAAAAGTGAATATATTCTTAACATATGATCCAGCATCGATTTTTTTAAATTTTATTTACCCAAGAGAGCTGAAAACTTATGTACATGTTTTATTTTTAACTTATTCCAAAATGTTGAAGGAACCAAGGTGTCCTTCTGTAGGTGAAATAATTGTATAAATACAGATAACAGGATATTCAGTGATAAATGGAAATGAGCTATCTAGCCATAAAAAGACATGGAAGAAATTTAATGCAAATTACTAATTAAGGAAGCCAACATGAAAATGTACATTGGATGATGCCAACTATATGACATTCTGGAAAATCCAAAACTGTGAAGACAACAAAATGATCAGGGGTTGCCAGGGACTAATGGAAGATCAAGAAGAAAAGCAGGCAGAGTACAAGGGATATTGGGGTCAGTGAAAATGTTCTGAGCGATATCACAGTGACACCCAGGCTAGTAAACATTTATCTGAACCCATAGACTGTAAAACAGCATGAAAGAAGCCCTAATGTAAACTGTGGATTTTTGGCAATTACGAGATGTGAGTATTACATCCTTGGTTAAAAGAAACGTGTGGTCTGTTTAGTTATATTGCTATGGGGTGAGGCTTTGCATTTGGGGTGCACAGGTTATGAGGAAAATCTATGTACTTCCAATTTTGTTGTAAACCTAAAAATTCTCTAAAAATAAAGTCTTCAAAATTTATAACAAAATAATTTGTAAATTAAAGGCTGCATAACTATAGATGGTAATTATTTTAGGAATAAAAGAAAGAATGGCTTTTAATTTTTGGTAAATACTCCCTTTAATAACATCCCCAGAGACATTTTCATGGCATTATTTCTTAGACTATATATGATGGGATTAAAGGTTGGGGGCACCATAATGTAGAACACAGAAATTAAAAGGTTGGAAATAGAAAGATTCTGTGAAGTTGGCTTCAGATAAGAAAAGATGCCGGTGTAGAGAAACAATACAACCACCACCAGGTGTGGAAGGCATGTGGAGTAGGCTTTTGACTGTCCTTCTGCTGATGGAATCTTCTTGACAGTGGAGAATATACAGACATAGGAAATGATTATGAAAATGCAACAGCAGATATCCAATACCACACTAACAAGGATAGGTACAATCTCACCTATTAAATTTTCTGAGCAAGAAATAGCCAATAACTGTGGGATGTCACAAAAAAAATGATGGACCACGTTAGACCCACAGTAGGATAAGGAGAAGGTGCCGACTGTGTGCATCACGGCGATCAGACTCCCACCCAGCCAGGACACAGCTGCCAACTGAACACACATATTCTCATAGTGCAGGGGGCGGCATATGGCAGCATAGCGGTCAAAGCACGTCACTGTGAGCAGGTGCAGCTCTGTGGTTCCTGAGAAAGCAACTAGAAAGACCTGGGAAACACATTCAAGGACTGAGATGGAATTACTGTGAGTTAAAGAGTTGGCAATGGACTTGGGCGCCGTGGCTGAAATTAGGCAGAGATCCACGAAGGACAAATTCTTCAGGAGGAAGTACATGGGGGTGCGGAGCCGACGGTCCGGAGCTGGGATCATGGTGACGAGGACGGTCCCCATCAGGGCGCAGGCAGATCAAGGAGAAGACCACTGAGCGTGTGATGCATGCGTCTCCTTTGGTAGAAAGTTCCACGAGGATAAATTCAGTCAAAACCGTGAGATTTTTCACTGTTAGAGGCATGGTCTGTATTAAAAAAAGAATAAAGGAATAATCTATTATTAACAAACATCATTGTCAAATCTCAATTTGAACATATAATGAGTTTCTTCGTAAAGTAACCACACAATCTATTTTCCAAAAAATTCGCTTCCATCTAAGTCCTATTCGAGTGTTTTGATTAATCATTATGTGATTAATATTGCTTCACTGAACTATGTTCAGTGCATATAAGTGTGCTTATTGTCCAAATGTGTCCTGTGAAAGATGTGGAAGGACTGAAAATTCAATGGACCTAACAAGCCTGAATAACAAAAGATCCTTTTCGTGTCTCCCCGTGAACACCAGTAACAAAAGCACCGCCGGCAAACTGCGTCCCAGACTGCGTGTTCTCACGCCCGATCCGTGACCAGTGAGGCCTGTTTCATCCAACCTTCCAAGAAGGTAGGCAGCAAACAATGCTTAGAAAAAAAGTGAATGACAGACCTTCCTCAGTCTGTCTTTATTTAACTGACTTCTCTCTTTAAAGCGCTCTTAAAAATTTTTAATAGATTGCAGCTTAATCTAGTGACCTCTTCCTCATGGACAACACTCAGTCTTCATTGCCACCCTGTCAGTGTCATGTAGATGTCATTCGTGTTTCAGGGGCTGAAAATCCAGCATGCCGTTTTAATGCTTAGCGGTATATTTTCTAGCTTCATTTTGGGTTTGTTTCCTGTGTTACTTACTATCTACTCCTCCTTAATTACTGGATTTAATATTTAATTGCATAAATTAAACACTTTCAGTTTAATATGATAATGCTAAAATACATCACTAACAGTTACATAATTACATAAAATTATGAAACATCATGATCAATAGAATACATTAATGTAAAAAAAAGAAAGAAACTGAACCCAGTCAAATTCTGTTTTAAAATGGTGGTGTCAAGTTGAACTATTTGGGCACCAAAGAATAAAACAATCCCTTTAGATGCTTTTTTAGTTTTTGTGATTTGTAAAGTGAATATTTTAACTACTGCTTGTTTTCCTCAGAACTAAAATAAAATTTTAAATTTACAATATTTTAAATCTAAAATGAATTTCCTTCCAAAAAGCTTAATAACATACCCTCAATCTTGGGCCATGAAACTTTCAGTTCTTTGCCTTTAGTTAAATCACTGCCATCACTAAGGTAAAAGGATGTCATCAAATCTCATTTCAAAAAAGATGACTACACACGTCGATTCCTCTAAAAAGTCATAGGATTATAAACTCTGGCTTTCCCGCCACCTCAGGAGGAAGGAACCTGAAAAGCTTGGTAATTCTGACACTCCTTTTGGTCTCTTATGTGCTTGAAAACAGTCCCAGAGTCATAATTTATCAAGATGGTTTAGTCCAAAAGGAAAATAGTGTTATGTTTTTGTCCATTCACTTGTTTAATTGGCATCAGCCTGTAATAAATCTCACCAAATAATTAGTGCAGTCAGTCTGTCAAATTTTTATCTTGTACATGGCTTATAAGTCAATGGACAGGGTTGTAATTAATGCTACCATGCAATATTTGAGGCACCATTTATTGGGAGCCTACAATGGGCCACACTCTCAGTTGATGGCTCCAATTCGTGAAAAGCAGTGCAGTTGGTCAAAGTCCAAGGTGAGCAGGAATGTCGGTCTCTCCCCAGGGGACACAGACCTTGGAGAGAGACTGGTGCGTGCAGAGTGGCAGAGTCCTGCCTCACAGGGAGTCCCAGGAGGGGCAGTGCTGTTGAGGCCGCCAGGGCGGATGTGACAGGTGAGACTCAGGGCATAGTGCAGCCCCAGGGGGCAGGTAAACAAGGAAATTACTTTAAATCCTCATGGAAGTTGCTTTAATTGTTCTTCATCTTTTCTATGGCAATGTTTTGTCTCTATTATGCTTTCAAATTTTAATAACTTTCTGAATATTGTTCTATTTTGGCGATTTTTCTTTTTCTGATAGGACTCTCACCCTGATTGCAGCTGGTTTCTCTCTCTCTGCTGTATCACGACAACTGTGTCCTCCATCTTTCCACTTGGGGACTTTACACCCTCCCCTGATGATCCTAACGCTCAAAAAGTTCATAACTTGGACTGAGAGAGTTTGCAGAATGCCGCATGCCTGGGTCTATTGCTGAGCTTCATTGAGAAGAGATGCAAAGATAATGAAAGTTCACAAACACCAATTTTTCATGAAATCCTTTACTCCAGGTGTAAAACCCACACAATATGTTATAAACTTTATTTTAAAATGCTCACCTGAATTTTGTAAATCATCTGAAAAGAAATTAAGGGCTTCAGTATAGGTAATGCCTCTTCAAAAAAGACGTTTTTATGTATATCCATTTGTCCACTTCCCACTCTAATATCTGATATACCCAATATACTTTGTATATTATTTCCGTATCAGATATATAATTTTCAAATATATTCTCCCATACATTAGATTGCCTTTTCATTTTGTTGATGGTTTCTTTTACTGTGCAGAAGCGTTTTACTTTGATGTAGTATCCCTTGGTTTTATTGCTTTTCTTTCCCTTGTCTGGAAAGATGTATCCAGAACAAAATTATTTATGCTAATGTTGAAGAGATTCCTGATTATGTTTTCTTCTAAGAGATTTATGTTTTCAAGTTTTGCATTGAGACCTTTAACCCATTTTGAGGTAATTTCATGTATGGAGTTAGACAACGACCTAGTTTCATTCCCTTGCAGGTACTTGTGAGGTTTTCCCAAAATCATTAATTGAAGAGACTGTCTTTCCTCATTGTATATTGCTGTCCCCTTTGTGATATATTAATTGACCATGTATCCATGGGGTTATTTTGGGGCCTTCTCTTCTTTTCCATTGATATATTATAGGTCTGTTCTTATGACATGACAATACCATACAGGTTTGATAGTAGGGTAACTATTTTTGTGTTGGTTTTGTATCCTATAACTTAACTAAATGTTTATTATAATTGTTTGTTGGAGTTTTTAGGGTTACAAATATATGACAAAGACATATGCAGATCCACAACTTTAATTATTCTTTTTCTGATATTGATGGCTTTGTTTTTGTTGTTTAATTTGCTCTATATAGGTCTTCAACTATTATCCACACTGGGAAAAGGATACTGTGATCAGTAAATAGGAAACTGCATATTCACAAGTGAAAGAATTAAGATGAACCCTTACATAAAACCATTCAAAAAAATCAATCCAAAATAAATGAGACTTAAACATAGTATCTGTTATTATAAAACTAGCATATATGGGAAAAATTTCCTTTGCACCTTGTCATTGGTCTTAAAAATGATTTTTTTAGAAATTCTACCAAAATTACAATCCACAAAGGCAAAAGTAAATAGGTAAGGTTACATCAAACTAAAAGAATTCTGAACTGCTAAGGAAACCATCATCAAAATGAAATGCAACCTACAGAAAAGGATATAGTTGCACATCATATATCTGATACAATATTTATAAGCTACTTATACAATTCAATAGAGGAAAAAAATATTCTGATTTAAAAATGGGAAAAGTATCTAAACAGACATTTTCCACAGTAGACATACAAATTGCCACCAGGTACAGGAAAGGTGAACATCACTAAATCTCAGGGAAATGCATCAAAACCACAGTAAGATGTCACCTAACACCAATTCAAATGTTATTATCAAAATGTCAAACATAAGTTGTTGATGAGGATGTGAAGAAAAGGGATCCCTTATACATCATGGATGGGAATGTAAGTTGTTACAGCTCTGAATGTAAAACAGTGTAGATATTCCTCAAAATATTAAAAATAGAGTGACCATATGGTCCATCAATTCTATTTATGAGTATATCTGAAGAAAACAAACAAACAAAAAACTAATCTGAAAAGATTAGATGACCCATGGTATCACAGCATTATTCAAAATAGCACAGTATGGGAACAAAATGTGCCTACGGATAGATGAATAGGTAAAGAAAACATCATACACACACAGCAGAATATTATTCAGCCTTAAAAAGAAGGAAGTCCTGCCATGTGCGAAAACATAAATGAACCTGAAGGATATTACGGTAAGTAAAATAAGCCACATTCCAAAAGATAAACACTGCATGATTTCACTTATATGTGGAATCTCAAAAGCCAAACTTGAGTGAAGAATGGTAATTGGAGCCCGGTGGGTGGATGTTGGTTAATATGGTCAAACATTCAGTTTTAAGACAATCAAGTTCTGGACACAAACATATAACATGAAGACTCTAGTGAAGACTATGTTGCATATAGTATTAACTGTGAAATTAGATCTTAAATATTCTCACCAAAAAAAGGTTAAGTGTGTAAGGTGATGAATGTATGAATTACTTTGATTATGGAAATCATTTCACAATGCACATGTGTATCATGTTAGCACATATTACACCTTAAATGTATACAATTTTTGTCTTTCATATTTCTATAAGCCTTGGGGGAAAATGTACATTTACAAAAGACATGTACAAGAATATTCACTTAGATCGATTATAATAACCTTTGGATAGAATCAACAGAAATGTCCATAAATAAGGGAACAAATGAGCTGTGAGGTATTCATAACAAAGGAACACTACTCAGCAGTAAAAAAGTTGAACCGCTATTACACTCTAACATTTGGATACATCAAAAAGATTATATTGAGTGAGATAAGTAAGACAGAGAGGAATACATATTGTATGGTTTCATTTGAAACAAGTGAAGGAGTGGGAAAAATAATGATGATACTTCTAATACATAATAGAAATTGGGGTCTATGCACAAGATAACGTGAATTTTCTTTAGTGATAGAAATATTTCTTATTTTGTTTTAGATAATGAGTGTATCATTTCTACATTTAAAAAATTCTCCATGCTTATATGTAAGATTTGTACATTTTACTGACGATAAATTATAAGTCAATAAGATACACAGTAAAAGAACAAAAAATTCTTTTTTACTTAGAAGTTGAAGGTTTTTCTTCTAGCCCTTTTTATTACCTATATTGTTGGCTTATGCAGTAAAATTC